GGAAGACAGAGAAACAGATGTTTATTTTAAGGAGTTGGCTCATGCAATTGTGTGGCTCAGCAAGTTCGAAACCTCCAGTGAGCTAGAGATTCAGTTGAGTTGACACAGCATTTAGTCTGAAGGCTAGAATTTCTACACTGCTGTCTTGAATCCCTGTTTCTTCAGGAAACCCAATTTTTTTTCTTCTCTTCATCCTTTCAGTTGATTGTATAAGACCCACCCACATTATAAAAGGTAAACTACTTTTTCATATATATATTTCAAATATATATATAATTTCAGAGAAGAAGGGAGAGGGAAAAATAGAAACATCAGCGATGAGAGAGAATCATTGATCAGCTGCCTCCCACACGCCCCCTACTGGGAATTGAGCTGCATGTGCCCTGACTGGAATCAAGCTGTGACTTCCTGGTTTGAAGGTCAATGCCCAAGCACTGAGCCACACTGGCTGGGCTAAGGTAAACTGCTTTTAAAGTCAACTGACAATAGGCGTGAATCCTGTTTTTAAAATACCTGGGCCGGATCCGGCCCGTTTGAAAAGAATAAAACTAAAAAAAAAAAAAAAAAGAGAGACCGTACCCTTTTATGTAATGATGTTTACTTTGAATTTATATTATTTCACACAAACACTCCATCTATGCTTTTGTTCCGGCCCTCCGGTCCAGTTTAAGAACCCATTGTGGCCCTCGAGTCAAAAAGTTTGCCCACCCCTGGCCTAGAACCATAGGTGCTCAAGCAACACCAAACCCCAGTTGTTAAAGAAATGAGGACAACGGACCCAGGGCAGGAGAAAGGGGAAACAGGCAAGAAAAGAAATGAGAAGAGGGACATTGGGGGAGGGAGCAGCAGGCAGATGTCAGCTGGGACACCTAGTGAGTGATGAGGGTCTTTGAGTCTCCCCTCCATGAAAGTCTCTGGCTAGTGGGGGCTGGAGGAAGCAGGGGTGGGCTCTGAATGTGTTCCCCCACCATCCTGTAAGTGGGAGGTGGGGGTTTCTTGGACCAGGGGCTCTAGGGCCAAGTGGCTGTGCTGGGGTGACTTCCAGGCTGTAGGGTTTTTTCCACGACGACCGGATCCAGAACTCAACTGTCTTCGAAGATCTAGAGACTAGATGAGGCCTTTGGAGTCCCAGTTTCACTTTGCAACCAGCAGTTCCACTCAACATGGTGGCTGTCATTCCCACCCCACCACCCCGCTTAGTTCTGGTGATGCTGTGACCACAACAGACCCAGCACTGTCTCCTCAACTGCTGACTCATGCCTTCCCCTCACTCACTCAGGCTCCCCCACCGGAAATATCACCCTGCCTGCCCCTTACTGCCTCCTCCTGGGCACAGCCTCCCCACTGGGTCCTACAGAAGCGTGGAGGAGCCTGCTCTGGCCCATCTAGAAAGTGATGACTGGGAAGTGAGCCTAGAGGACAAAAGGGAATGCAGGTGAGAATGCCATTGGAGATAGTGAGCTGTGAATGAGGAGTATGAGAACAGGTGCGGATGCAGGTGAAAATATAAGTAAAGTTACGGGTAAGTTTACGGACAGACATGTAGGTGGGGGGCCAGGTGAGGATGCAAAAAAATCCAGGTTGATGTAGTTGAGGATACTGGTAAGAGAGGAGGCAAAGATTCAGATGAGAATGTGGATCATGCTCTCTCTGAAGCTGGCCAGGTCCCTGCACAGCTTCTTGTTCTCATCGTCTTGGCATTCGTCCGCTTCAGGCCACAGCTCTACCCAGGTGTCCTTCCCGATGATGTACTTGATGCTGGGGAGGAGGGACAAACAGCAGGGTCAGGAGGGGCCCTGGAAGGGTGGGTGGGGCGAGCACACACATGTGCAGGGTGGGCACTCACTTGGATTTCTCTCCCCACAGGTCTGAGGAGGGGCCCCATATGAGGTAGTGTTTCCCCTCCTGCATCTTCAGGGATGCTCTGCAGTTAACGTGGCTGATGAACCTGCGCTCCTGTTCAGGCTGTACCTTGTCGGTGCCTGGAGGAGAGAGAACGACGCTGAGCTGGGGTGGAGGAGGCAGGAGGAGGGAGGGGAAGACAGAAAGACAGAAGGCAGCCCAGGGCTGACCTGATTTGATGATTTGCTTGATGACCATTATGTACTCGTCATAATCATCGGACAGCTCCTTCCTGAGCAGAAGGGTCTTGTACACTGCAGGGTGGGATGGTGTGGGTGAGGGGGAAGGACCAGCATGAGTCATGGGCAGGCTTGATAGCAGGGCAGCCTACCTGTAAGGGCACCTCAAGCAGCCACATGCAGTCACACAGGGTCATACAACCACCATCTCACATAGTCTACCACAACCATGTGCACAGTTACAGCCACCCACAACTCATCCCATACACAAGGACAGTTACTCTTGTCCACTGTCACTCACAACCACTATCTCTTACACACAGCCACATATGGTCACACTCACTACAACAGCATCTCACACATAGTCACCTACAGCCTTGCACACAATTATAGCCACTCACAACTCATGGTATACACAGGGACAGCTACGCCTATCCACTGTCACCATCTCACACAATCATGGCTGTTTACAACCACACTCTCAGACATACACAACCACATCTACTTACAAACACCTTTGTTCACTCTCTTGCACATACCCAGCCCAGTCATAACCATGGTTCCCCAGCAAGCATGGCCTCTAATAACACACACACTAGTCACCCACAATCATAGCCTGAAACACATGGACCTGTGGCCACTCACAGCCAGTCACACACACAACCAAGACCACACCTGCCATCACATG